TCCCTCATTTCCTAATCCCCTGCAGCTGGCGGGCCAACCTGATTAATGCAACCAGCAGCATTAGGAACTTGCTAGCTAACTACTAACTAGTTAGAGTCTTCACAGTGTAACTGAGGCTGAGAAAATGCTTCAAGAATGAAAGCAATGCATTCTTCCAAATACATCTTGACTAGACAAGCATCAACTTGGAGGCTTTAAAAAGAGACTTTCACCTTAGCTCTCCTGGCCCCCTCGGCCTGCCGAGTGCCGGGACCCTTAGTGAAAGCAGGCTGCCTAAACCACACTTGTGACTTTGCTGGCGGCTGTGGGTATCCTGGGCTGTGCTTTGGGCAGTTCCCGGCCCTTCCTCTCCTGTGGGGTCTGTGTAAGTCAGTGGTTCTCAACCTTCTGGCCCTTTAAACACAGTTCCTCATGTTGTGACCCAACCATAAAATTATTTTCGTTGCTACTTCATAACTGTAATGTTGCTACTGTTATGAATCGTAATGTAAATATCTGATATGCAGGATGGTCTTAGGCGACCCCTGTGAAAGGGTCGTTTGACCGCCAAAGGGGTCGCGGCCCACAGGTTGAGAACCCGCTGGTGTAAGTGAACACTGCCTTGCCTCTCCGGGGCAGCAGTGACACTCAGAAGAAGCCCAGAAGGCTCACTGGGGAGCAGAGGGCTCAGACTTGACCGTGCACTAGGAGGACCACACCTCAGAACCAGGCTCTCCTGTGTTTGTTCAATACAAGGCAGTGCCGGCTGAGGGAGCACCTGAAAAACCAAAACCTGCACCTGTACCAAGATAGTAAAAGCATACCCGACAGGGAGCTGGGCTGACATCACCATTTCTGCTTCCTCCTTATACAAATTAATAAACTGCCCCAAAGACAGGGGAAGAGAGGAGGCTTAAAGATGCCCAAGGGCAGGTTCCAGGCCACGCTCTCCCATCTGCCGACCCAGTGGTGGAAGTAGGGGAGCCCCCGGAGACGAGAGACCCAGGCCGCCTCTGTTACAGAGACGTTTACCAGAACTATCGAGCACTCCCCCAGAACCACTGGATTCCTGAGTCTTTAGGAAAATCAGAGGCGGCTATTTTTACTCTCAGGCTCTCGAGCAGCTCTGAAGGCCTGGGGCTCGCTAATCACGCAACCTGGCAGGGGCCCTCGCACAGGCGGGCAGGGTCCTGCTTTCCGTTTTTATTCCCCTCCTCTCCTCGCAGCTCCCACCCACTTGCTGGGTTGACTTCAGACTCCACAGGCTTCTTGCTCATCTCCTCCAGCTGCTGCAATCTGAGGCAGTAACCATCCAGGCTGTTCTTGCAAGCAGCTCTCTAATGTCTTGCATAACCACCCTTCAGAAAGACAGACAGGAAAGCCACGTGTTCTAAGAAAAAAGGAGGAATTCTGAGAAGAAAACGCCAAAGTGGTTGGACCCACAGACGAACTCCTTCCAAGAAATCAGACAGAGGATGAGTTGAGATTTGCTCTCTTCCCATTAGTTGTAAATAAGGTTTTGGTAAAAGTCTTAATTGTCCAAAGCAAATGACAACCCTAAAGGATAAGGAGCCTGCCTTGCTTTGTGGAGCAGCTTAAAAACCCGTCAGAGTCATTGTTCGCACTTCACCATGACCCTGGATGTCACGTGACATCCTATGACAAAGAACACGCGGGAACATCCTTCCTCGCTGTGGGAGAGAAATCAGGAAGGAAAGAAAAGCTAAATGACATACTCTCTGAAACATAAAACCAGGTCTGTCCTTCATCTCAGATGAGAGGAAAGAGCTTTTGCAGATGACTGACTAGGAAAGACCATGATTTGATTTAACCCCAAGCTATTCTCCTTTGGGGCTAATAAGTCTTTGGGAGTAGTCTTTTATATGGGAATTAGTGAATCCATGTTAGCTGCAAGGAAGGCAAAACCAATGAATACAGACTAGCAAAAAGGTTCTTCCAGAGTCACCTGCAGTAAAAGTCTGACAGCTAAAAGTCACCTGCAGTAAAAGTCTGACTGTAATATAAAGCTATCCTAACAAAGCACTAGGAGCCTACATTGTAGGTAAAAAATAAATAAATATAAAAATAAATTAATCTATTAATTTTATGGCTCAGCTGTAACCTAGTAGAGGTCTTACAAATGGTTAGAGCTGAAAACTATGGAGAGACCCAGGTCCAATACTTTATTACTCAGTGAGAGGAGTGACACCTAGGCAGGCCCAGGGACTGAGCCAAAGTCACCTAGCTAATGAGTAACACGTGACAGGCATGTGCAGGTCTGTTGACCCCAGCACACCAGGCTGCTATCTGCAGTGCTGCCATGAAAGATGTGGACTAAACAGACATGTTCACGAACAGGCGTCTAGGTGGAATTATTTCCATGCGCAGGAATCATGCCGAGGGGGCCAGGGGTTACACACTCAAACCACGGTGCTCTCCTCCGTCTTGCAGGGTCCGCTCTGGGTGCTCTCCCTTGCCTGGATTCTAAGTGACAGAAAATTGTGTTGGAGAGAAATAGGGCTGTTAGCATTAAAACCATGGCATCTCTGTAGGCCTTTAAATGAGGACAAGCTTTTCATTTTTCCAATGTCTTAAAAATCCCAGGAGGGGTATCCTGACTGGCCTTAGGGGGCACCACACCCTTTTGGGATTCTCTAGGTGAAGCCTGAGGAGGAACAGAGCATCAGGAATCAACTCCGAAAGCGTGGAGAACGGCTTGGAGATGCACGTCTGTTGTAGAAAGAACGTCACTTAACGTGGCTTTAGTTTATCCCGTAGTGGACAACTGAAGTTTTGTCACTTAAAAATTCTCTATGTGAAAGTGTCACATCAGATGGAAGAAATAATTGGACTCCATTCTCCTCTCCTCCCAACCTACCCAATATAAACGTCCAAGACTCTAGGGAACACTGGGCCATTCATTTGCCTCAAGATTGTTTGCACACTGGTCAAAGTCCGAACAATAAATTTCTGCAAGTTCAGTATCTAATCCCAAATTGCCCAAATGACATGAGTACATATGTTCAAAACTTAAATCCATTCAAATATTTACTCTAGGTTTCACTTAGTATTTTTAAGCAGTTATAAAGCAAAAAGGCCAAATAATTTTCAAGTATGTGTCTTTTATTTTAATCTGACATTTCACAGTCAATTTCTACAAAACTTCATACTTCTTCAAAAGAATTCACATTTGGTAAAGAAATCTCTACCCTAAAGAACTCATAACTGGAAAAACACTTTGATATATGCATGAGTTACCTTCTGCTGAAGGAATCAATAAAGTCAGACAATACTATAATCAATAAATGGTAATGAGAGCAATAAATTACAATGTCATTAAACTCCATTCCCATAACCAATTCAATCAGCAGCTTTTTCTAGTTTTGTGTTTTTTTTTAAACATTGCCAACAAAATCTGCCAGAAGGACTGATTTGAGCTAAGAATGGCTTCACATGTTCAGAAAACAGTAGCTCCGCCACGGGACATCATACCAGATCAAATCAACCTTGTGCAACCAACAGAGGTCTTTCTGGTCAACTCCAAGGTTCCTCCATTTGCTGAAATGGCCCCTGGCCCCAATGTCTGCTAGCTTCAATGGACTCTCCTTCTCTACGTGGCTTCACCTACCCCAAGCTCCACTAGACAACAAGCACCCAAGCTAAGAGCTTAGAGACTTCCAGCACTAAGTCATAAGGCCAGACAAGAGCTGTGAGGATCAACGATGGCTTTCATCATCTTTTACTGTGACAGAAGGGAATGCATACCTTAATCTGGGAAGAAGATTCCAAGAGGCTTAGAGCTCCAGAAGGTTTTCGGATGGAATAAATTTGGTTCTCAGCAATTGTGTTCAGATTTTGACACTCAGTAAGACTCAGGGCTAGCGCCAGGCTGTTCCGAACACACCTGTCTCTGTAGCTCTGCCGCCAAATGCATTCTGCCAAAAAGGAAGCTTCCTGGCATGGTGCGCAGAGCAGAGCTGCTGTAGTACCGCAGACTTGGGGAGGCAGAAGGGGGAGGCCCAGACAAAATACTCAAAGGAGCTGGGTCTGCTTAAAGACACACTGGCTCTAATCTCTGACACTCTTTCAGAAAGCAAATGGCAGATAATAGTTCTGCGTTAATCAGGTGTCTAGAGATTTTACCAAGTTATTTATTTCTACTAGTAAATCGGCCTTACCTAACTCATGTACGTTTGAGAATAAAGTGGAGGCGATCCAAAGCCTTGTAATTTTTAAACTACGTTAGACTTACCACTACCTAGCAGATATGAGCTTTAGCTGCTTTCTGGCCTTGGTAAAACTTCAAGAACATTTTCCTGTGTAAAAGCTGGTCATCCAGAAGTTGTTAGTTAGATTTTCAAGAGGATGACATTTTTAAATGAGAGGAGGAAACGTTTAAAGCTTTACTATTAGAATCCAGCTTACCTTGACGATGAAGCTGGAAGCATGTGTGTCTGTAAATCCCCATCACAGCCTCCATTCCCAGGTGAACCTCACATACGCAACACCACACCTCTGGGCTTGCTGCCAATACCCAACGCATGGCAGACACACAGAAGACGCTGCTCCTGCTCGCTCCAGGTCACCGTGCGTCACATGAAAGCTTTGGAGGCGAAACTGGTGAGAAGCCAACTTTGTGGGCTTATATTTCATATAATTTTATGAAATTAAAATTATTAGGATGATTTTAATCTCAAATCTATCGAGCTTAATAATCACATCCTCTTTTAGGAAAACAAAAGAAGAAAAAGTGGCAGCAGAGGGTTAATTTACACCACTCACTCACTCTCAGGCACCACGAAGCTATCTTTAAGATTTTCACACATAGCCCTAACCGGTTTGGCTCAGTGGATAGAGTGTCAGCCTGCGGACTCAAGGGTCCCAGATTCGATTCCGGTCAAGGGCATGTACCTTGGTTGCGGGCACATCCCCGGTGGGGAGTGTGCAGGAGGCAGCTGATCGATGTTTCTCTCTCATCGATGTTTCTGGCTCTTTATCCCTCTCCCTTCCTCTCTGTATACAAAAAAAAAAAAAAAAAAAAAAAAAAGATTTTCACACATAAAACAGGTTGCATTGTTTCAAAAGTAGAAAGAAAAAAAGCACAAATTACTGGAATCTTCCAGCTCCTGACCAAGGGATACTGACCATGTGTTTCTTCAGACTCTAACTCAGAAAAGCAATTCATCAACTGTAACTCCAGATGGTACCGCATCCGTTCCATACTTTAAAAAGCTGAAGTTATTTTGCCTACCAGTTAAAGTGAAGAGAAACCTGGTTTGTGATGAAAGTGTCAGAGTTAAATGGTACCACCCTTTTCCCTTGACTTTCAAGTTTAAAAAAACAAAGCTTTAAGTCATTAAGTGTTTGCACCCAAGGCCCAGCCTGTGCCCAAAGCATTTTAGGTTTTGGCCAAATGGCATGATGCCTTAAGGAATGCAACCACACCTCCTCTTATTTTTCTCTAAGATATTCAAGGGAAGATCTGGAAAGGGATCCTTGTCACCTACTCCCTGGCTTGACAGGTGTCATTCAGTACGCTCATCCATGTCACTGCACCTCTGATCAGTTAGTGAGTGGGACAGTGGGAGGTGATCAGGGTTAGTGACTGGGACGGTGGGAGGTGACAGCTAGAGCTCCACACACTCCTCTCTTCTGCTTTGCCCCGTGACCCACCTAAGCACCTGCAGGCTAAGGAAAAGGGACTCATGGACACCCCGAATCTGAGGTCCTCAGTGGAACAGAGGCATATGTAAACTGGGCACAGATCACAGGTTAAGACAGCAGCCAGGGACTGGCATGAGGCTTCATAAGTGAACTGTTGAACAGTTTAAGAGTAGAAGGAAAAGACCTTACATAAGCTTTGGGAAACAGGAGTAAGATAACAGCAAGAGAGTTAAAAAGAACCATTCAAGTAACAGGAAAGTCTGCCTTCTGTGCTATATGTCTGGGTGATCAGAGAATGCTTCTAGGTCACCGCCAGCATGACTAGCCCCCAGGGTTAGCGATGCCTGCAGCCTGGCCCACGCCTGAGGAGCCCTGCTCTTGGCGGCCTCTATAAACAGCTGGGTCTGCTCCTTTAGCTGGTCTAGCTCCACCTGTGTTGCCTGGTTCTGACGAATCAGCTCCTTGGTTTTCAAAGTGATCTCCAGCAAGCCGGACTTGTGCAGGACTACCAGGGTGTTCTGAAAGCGCCTGTGTTTGCTGGGCAGCTGCTCTGAGAAGAGATCTGGGCTGCGGCAGAGGTGCTCTGCGGCCCACAGAGGTGAGCTATAATTAGCTGACAGTGGTGACAGGGGGGAGGTGCTCTCTACCCCATGCAGAGTGCTGTCTGATGCGCAGACAGGACTGGCAGGGGAAGCAAAGGTCAAGCTGGGAGCTTTAGCCACATGGCTGCTGGACACGGGCTGAAGAGTCTGTGGACTTCCGCCTGCCACGAGGGAGGGCACACCCTGCAGAGCTGAGTCCTCCACCAGCTTGGCACTGGGGGGTGCTGCAGTCGGGGGACTGGATGACACAGCACCTGTCTTGGTGGGCTCACTGGCGGGCAGGCTCAGCCCAGGTCTCTCAGTACAGATTTTCTTCTGCGTTCCACGATCTTTCTCTTTTGGGCTGAGGGAGAGGCCCCTTTTGCCTGGGTGTGGGGCTATTTTGGTGTAAGAATTCAGAATGGGCAAGTAGTTTTTGGAGTCGGACCTTTTCTCGCCAGCGTGACATCGGCTGACAGGCGATGGCACAGGCGGGTGAAGGAACAGGAGCTGTGGCTGTGCCGAGATCACTTCGAAGGAGGGCTGGACGGTCCATGACTGGAGCTGGGATGAGCTGCTGCCCTGAAAGCAGATGAAAACAGCACACTCCTTGTTACCTGCTTCTGCTAAGGGGCAAAGCAGAGATTTACAACAATTTCACGTACAGAGCTTCCCTCACAAAACAGGTAGCCTTTTCTGAAGAGTGTGATTGGATAAGTAGCTTAAAAATCCATTTGGGCCTGCCATTATAATTTTTTTTTTTTTAATCCTCACCTGAGGATATTTTTCCATTGATTTTAGAGAGAGTGGAAGAAAGAGGGAAAGACAGAGGGAAATATCAATGTGAGAGAAACACATCAATTGGTTGCCTCCTGCACACGCTCTGACCAGGGCCCGGGCTGGAGAGAAGCCTGCAACCGAGGTACATGCCCTTGACCTGAATCAAACCTGGGACCCTCCAGTCCACAGGCTGACACACTATCCAATGAGCCAAACCGGGTAGGGCTATAATTTCTTCCTTTCTTTCTTTTTTTACACTTTTCCTAAGGCAAAACTGAAGGAAATACCTATTTTTATTCAAGTGCTACCACTCAGGAAGAGAAACTGTAGGTAGATGAAGTAATGACATAGTTAAGGTCACAATTGAGGCAATAAAAATATGGGCAATACAATTGCTTGGCATGGTTAAAATGTGCTCATTTCACGACTACAAATGTGACTTTACACAAGAGTCTGTCTTCATTTAGTTACATCTGGACCCTCTTTTACCTGAACACAACTTTTGATTAAAGTCACATATTGTCAGGAGTCCATGGGCCCCCTTTTTAAGGCAGTGGCACCGAACAATCATAAAACCACTCAAGATAATAACAGTTATCAGGTATTGGTGCTTACTACAAGCTAGCACTGTGTGTGATGTTTTACATGGATTGTTTCCATAACAACCCTGTGAGGTAGTGATCATTTCCCTTCACAAATAGAAAACTGAGGTGTAGAAAGTTGAAATAACGTGCTTTAAGTCAACAAGATACTAAGTGACAGAGCTGGCTCTAAAACCTACCCTAACCATTCTACTACATTGCCTTTGTTATAGTACTCCTCAGTTATGCATTTTCATTTTTAATTAAGTACTGATTCAGATGGAAAGCTAATAAAGAAGGGTATGGCTATCTTTTTCCAATATTTAAAAGCCAGTCCAGTTCCAACCTGGTCCCAAAAATATGAGCTGGTGGGGTGGTCATTGCTGAGGAGAGCTATCTCCCACATATGCCCACCATTTTGCACACCTTTGAGCTTCCTCGATGTGTGGCTAGAATGTTAGGCCAGCTATAGTTCATCTCCTATGCAAAAGTTGGGATCATCTGGGGAGTCCATTCTGAAGCCCTCTTGGTATTCAGATATACGCTGGATGTACTATGTAAGCAAGCAATGCTAGGCCTAGCACCACACTTCCCTGTCAGAGCAGGTCCAAAAGCAGGGGTCTTTCGAAGCAGACATCAGCCTAGTCCAGCTCAGTCAGAAGGAAAACATCAGGCTATTCCCCCAGTCACTCATGCCCTAAGGGTGGACCTACTATGAGGCAAACGGATCCAGAAAATTTCTAATTCACTGCTTTCCTAAGCTGATTTCACTGGATTCTTCCTAATGCTGCTATGCCCATTGCTGTAGTAGATACTAAGCTTACTGGTTCTAATTATTAGATTTTACAATATATTATTTATATATTATTTATATATTATATATTATTATATATATTATATTATATATTATATTATATATTATTTATATGTTGAAAAAATCTGAGGGAATACGGGACAAGATTTTAGACTTGGCTACAATCTCAGGGTCATTTTCCATGAAGCCTTCACACTGAAGATGAGGAAATTGAAGCCCAGGTTATTAAGTAATTGTGTGCAAGATCACACAGTCGAGTGGCAGAACTGGAATCAGACCTTCAAAAGAAAAGTATCTAAAACCAAGACATTAGCCCAGCTGGTGTGGCCCAGTGGTTGAGCGACGACCCATGAACCAGAAGGTTACAGTTTGATTCCCAGTCAAGGCACATGCCTGGGTTGTGGGCTCGATCCCCAGTGGGGGGTGTGCAGGAGGCAGCTGATCAATGATTCTCTCTCATCATTGATGTTTCTATCCTCTCTCCCTCTCTCTGAAATAATAAAAAATATCTATATATATAAAAGCCTAAGCAACCGGCCGACCAGCTGGTAGCTATGACATGCACTGATCACCAGGGGGCAGACACTCAACACAGGAGAGGAAAACACCAGCATGGAAACATGGAACAGACTGATGAATCTCAGAGGGAAGGGGGGTGGGGGGAGGGCAGGAAGAGATTAACCAAAGATCTTATATGCATACTAGAGGCCCAGTGCATGGATTTGTGCACCTGTGGGGCCCCTCGGCCTGGCCTATGTCTTCTCGCAATCTGGGACTTCTCAGGGGATGTCAGAGAGCTGGTTCCAGCCAGATCCCCACAGGCCAGGGCAAGGGGCCCCACCAGTGCATGAATCGGGCCTCTAATACAGCGGTCGCCAACCTTTCGGACCTCACGGACTACCAGTGATCTTTGGACCACGGGTTGGCGACTGCTGCTCCAAAGGTTTCCTGAAACCAGTGGTCGCCAACCTTTCGGACCTCACAGACCACAGGTTGGCGACCACTGCTGTAGTATATATATAAAAAATAAAATAAAACCAAGACATTACACAAAATACACATATTTTTAAAAGTATATCACTATTTTAATGTTGGAATGTGCTGGATTCTAACGTGTGAAAAAACAAGACGAAACTCCTAGACAACTCCATCAGGTCCACCCGCCCCAAGCTTCCCATCTGCTGATGGAGCCAGCAGTCCCCTGCAGGCCTTTGTCCTGGAGAATGCAGCCCTGCTGGAAAAGCCTACCCACTCCTCAACTGTGGGCTGTTCTCCGCCCTGGGGAGCTGCCAGCCTGCCTACAACAAAGAAGGCATATAAACACAGACACACAGGAAGGACTGACAAACAGGGAGCCAGAGAGGAAGGCGGGGACAGAAAGAACCGGGAGAAAGGAAGCCCTGAGAAGCATCACAGCACTGATGGGGTCTGGACAAGCTCATCTGGGCTCCATTACGTGTCTTTATTCTCTCTCTTCGTTTCAATAAGCAGAGCTGTTTTTCCTGCTGAGGTGATTTGTCACGCAAAAATTTCCAAATTCTTTGTCCAAACTCACCAGGTTGGCTTGTTAAAAATCCGTTTGTGTTCCTCGGAAATAACTAGGTAATAGTTAAGACATAAGGTTTCATGTCAGGCTACAGCCGTGTATGTTCTTCTACCTGAGCTGGAAGGTCAGCAGCATAAAGCCAGTTTCAAATGTCCTAGCTTCCTGCAGCCTCATCAATGGCCCCATGGGAGAGCTGATATATTTTAGAGCAAAGCAGGGTAAGGTTAAGTGTTCTTGAACCCAGTTCATCTGATTAAGTTCTCGGTTCCAAACATGGGGGCTTAGATTTTCATCTAAATCTGTTCTTGCATATCTGGACAATAATCACATATTATGCATAGTTATGTAACCAAGCCCCCAACAGGATGTGTTTCAGCTCCACAGCAATGCCGTGCAGACTCTGCTGGGGCAGCCACACCTTAACCAAAGAGCTGCTCTTCCACTAACGGCACGTCCTTGGCTGATTACTAAGAAAAGGCTCAGAATGTGACAGGAGAAACATGGAAATTGCCTCCACTTCTCAAACAAATAAATGCATCCTACATTTCTAAATTCCTAGGGCATTTCAAGTTAAAAAGAGATTCTTTTGTTTATACCCTGAATTCTGTCATCTATTAACTGTACTATGAAAGTTATGACATTTCTGCTTGGTTCTTTTATACATGACTAAAGAATTCCGGTGCTCCTCTGGATAAACTAGGGATACAGAAATAAAATAGTCTTGCTGTCCTGGAGTCCTTTTTAAACACTGTCAATAGTTGAAAGGAAACATCCTTTCCCCAGGACAGAGTACTCGGCAGCGGCGTGGTTCTGTGCTCTGCGTCTAAATCCCTCCCAGGCGGAGGGGAGCCTCTGCACACAGGGAGCCCAGGCACTTGAACTTGCACCCCCCTCACCTGTTTGACCAGCACGTTCTTCATGACGACCATGGGGGACAGAGTGGGGAAGGCACTGCTCGCAGCCTTGGAGTTCAGTCTTGGCCGGTCTTCCCGGCTCCAGCCTAAGGCGCTCAGCATGTCCTCGGACTCCATTTGCTCCGCCGAGCTCAGACACTCCGAACTCCCATCTGGTGGGCAGGAAAACGGACAGTTCACCCGGGCTCTAGGCTAGAGGCTGCTAACCAGGCCTCCTGGGGAGTGGCGGGACTCCTTGAAACTGAATGGAACATTTGTGAGATGGGTTTTTGTGCATTTTTCTGAGGAGAGGGTCTTTAGCTTTCATTGGACTCTCAAAAGGCATCCATAATTATCACCTGTGCCCCCAAAGACTAGGAATGACTGCCCGAGGACTCCTTTCTAACTCTTACAGACAAAAGCCTGCATCAGTTCAGGTTCCTGTGAAAGTAATCATCACCAGCCTACAGAACTGGGTGGAAGGCTTCAAAGTTAGTTCATTTCATTACTTTCACATTGACATTTCTATCTCTCTCTCCCTCTTCCTTCCCCTTGGAAATAAAAATATATTGTAAAAAATAATAATAAACACAAAATCTTAAAACTTACACCCATGCGGAAACTGAAAGAGCTTCTTCCTAAGTTTCCTAATTGTAAATTCTGGGTAAGTTCATCAAAGCTGAGGTTTAAAATGTGTCTGTCGTTGTTGTTCCCTCTACCCGGTTAGACATCTCCTTTGTTGCTGTGTCTACTGGGACCCTGCACATCGGTGACAGATACTTTCCAAGGCAAAGAAAATAAGAATGCCCTCCGTGAATCCATCACAAAGGACTTATTTAGCTATCTACTGGAGCATCCCCAGAGACTGCTGAAACCCTGCTAGGAGTCTGGGGATACCCTAAACGCTCATCAGGAATCACAGAGTCAACTAGATGAGGCAGGCCCAGAATGAAACTTTAATTTAAATGAGGACAACTGTCAACACTTGCAGTTAAGTCAGAACCACACATGTAGTGCTTGATTTGGGCAAAGATCATCAATGGATGTCAAAGCCACAGGTCAAGAGTTTGTTGGGGAGCAGAATAGTCACACAATTTCAAAATACCATCTCATAAATTGCTTATAATTACAAAGAAAAAAAGGGTACTTTTACATTAAAAAAATCTGGTATATGCTACCTTAAGCAAGTGTAAACACCACCTTAACCAAGTGATCAACCAGAGCACCAGCAAGAATAAGACAAACATAAGAGTCTCCTTACGTGTGCAATGAGGGGATATAACAGAAAAAGTGCAGTAGGCTGTAAAAAAATGTTCTCCTGATTCGAGTAATGGGGAAGCTATCAGAAAAATCCAGAGTGTGGGACATTCTACAGAACAACAGGCCTAACTCATTCAAAGATGTCGATGTCATTAAAGAATAAAAAAGGAAAGGATATGAAAGATGAGGGAGCTGCTCTAGATTAAATAAAACTAAAAAGACAGGACAACTAAATGAAATGTACAGTCGTCAATGGACCCAGGATCTAAAACGAATGGACCAAAGGACACTACTGGGACAATGGGCAAACTCTGACTATGGGCTGCAGCTAATTAAAAATCGCAGATTAGCCCATGCCGAAACCGGTTTGGCTCAGTGGATAGAGCGTCAGCCTGCGGACTCAAGGGTCCCAGGTTCGATTCCGGTCAAGGGCATGTACCTGGGTTGCGGGCACATCCCCAATGGGAGATGTGCAGGAGGCAGCTGATCGATGTTTCTCTCTCATCGATGTTTCTAACTCTCTATCTCTCTCCCTTCCTCTCTGTAAAAAATCAATAAAATATATTTTAAAAATAAATAAATAAATAAATAAAAATCGCAGATTAGCCCTAACCGGTTTGGCTCAGTGGATAGAGCGTCGGCCTGCGGACTCAAGGGTCCCAGGTTCGATTCCGGTCAAGGGCATGTACCTTGCTTGCGGGCACATCCCCCGTGGGGAGTGTGCAGAAGGCAGCTGATCGATGTTTCTCTCTCATGGATGTTTCTAACTCTCTATCCCTCTCCCTTCCTCTCTGTAAAAAATCAATAAAATATATTTAAAAAAAAAAAAATCGCAGATTAGCTCCAGCCAGTTTGGCTCAGTGGATAGAGAGCCAGCCTGCAGACTGAAGGGTCCCAGGTTCAGTTCCAATCAAGGGCACCTGCCCATGTTTCGGGCTCAATCCCCAGTAGGGGGTATGCAGGAGGCAGCAAATCGGTGCTTCTGTCATCATTGATGTTTCTCTCTCTCTCCCCCCCCTCCCTTCCTCTCTGAAATCAATAAAAACGTATTTTTTAAAAATCGCAGATTACATCATTCACCAAGTGACTGAAATAATAACTCAGGCAGTGAAGAAATCACTGGCACCTGGCCCAGGTGTGGCTGGAGGCATTCCCTGGGGTCACTTTCTGGAGCACAACCAGTTTGGTTGGTTTTAACAATGCCTGTGTCTGACCAGCACAACACTGCTTAAAGCACTTCTACAGAATAAGGAAACGATCAGAAACACCATCCAGACTTTGGGACATACTACATAACAACTGCCTGAAGTTGTGGGAAAGAGAGGTACCAAAATGTCAACAGTATTGAGAAAAAATAGGTAGTGGGATGATAGATAATGCTTATATTTTTCTTTCCAAGTTTCTACATTTCTAAGCTTCTACAATGAGCATGTATCACCTTTGTGATATGAAAAACAGATGAAAACAAACATGACCTTAAAAAAGAGAGAGAAAGTAAGCCCGCAGTGTTTCCCAAACCTGTCTGAATACACAACTCACCAGACACAAAAAATAACCCCCACATCCCAGGCCCTCCCCCAAGGCCCTCAACATCACAGCATCCAGGAGCGGGGTCTGGCAAGCAGTGTTTTTAACAAATGCCTCAGATGAGCCTTATGATGAGGCAAGTTTAGGAAACAGTGCTAAGCGACAGAGAAGAAAAACCAAGGGGCTACACGTTGGCCCTCGGTTTCCCGACTGTCCTTATTCTAATCCCTCTGTCAGTAGGTGTTCTGTTCTTCTCTGAGCAACAGTCTATTTATAATTTGGCTTCTCACACAGCCTCCCTACGGGGAGGAAATATAATATACCAATCTAAGGATGAGGCAGATCTAGCATTCCTAACAGCTGTATTTCTCAGTGTAAGTTAATAAACAGGAGCATGGACTGATTAGCCCAGCCGTGGGCAAACTACGGCCCGTGGGCCGGATCCGGCCTGTTTGAAATGAATAAAACTATTGAAAAAAAAGACCGTACCCTTTTATGTAATGATGTTTACTTTGAATTTATATTAGTTCACACAAACACTCCATCCATGCTTTTGTTCCGGCCCTCCAGTCCAGTTTAAGAGCCCATTGTGGCCCTCGAGTCAAAAACTTTGCCCACCCCTGGATTAGTCTCTGTGAGGCTAGATAACATTAAGTCTTCATCTAGGAGAGGGTTCCATCCCAGGGTGCTAACCCAGCCAGAATCCCCTAGCATCACCTTTCTGCATCCAGGGCCAAAATGTTGACACTAGAGCTATGGTATGTCAAGCCACTACTCTCAGATCTGGAAATAAAGGCGCCTCAGCACAAAATTGAAAGGTTCACCGGGTATGCAGCTAGCCCTTTCAGGTAAGGTTTGGACAAACTAGTAAGGAAAACTGGTCTCCTTTCTCGTCTCTAATAGATTCTCAAGTCCAAATGCGAAATACATGGATATTGGGAGGATGGGCTGTAGAGGAGAAACATTTTTAAACAAAGCAAAATTACTTTCTTAGAAAAAAAGTTACTTTAACAAATTGTATACTCTTTTCGTTTTAATTTGTTACATGGTAACAACATGCAGTATTTTTTCCTGCAATGTAACTATTCCTATGAAAAAGGAGTGAAAACAACAGAATTATGAGTACTTATTTTTTCCAGTAACTACTTGCAACAGTTCTAAGATTTAAAATTGAGTTGAAAAAAGATGTCAAATCCCCTGGACAGCGTGGCTTAATGGTTAGCATCGACCTATGAATCAAGAGGTCCTGGTCTGATTCCCAGTCAGGGCACATGCCTGGGTTGCAGGCTCGATCCTCAGTGTGGGGCGTGCAGTAGGCAGCCGATCAATGATTCTCTCTCCTCATTGATGTTTCTCTCTCTCTCTCCCTCTCCCTTCCTCTCTGAAATAAATATAAATATATTTTTTAAAAAAAGATGTCAAATCACTCCTTCAGAACTAACCCCGTGGTGAGCCATATGGCACCAGAATTGTCATTTTAAGAGATCAGATACTTATTTATTCTGTATGTGAAAGTTTCCCATCCCTATCACACAAAGGAGTTTGGGGGAGGACCTCTTTCAGGCAAATCATTCGTTACAATGTAGAAAGAACGAGGTATTTTAACCTGAAAATCCAGAGTCCTTGTCTGACTCGGCCGCTGCCATGCCGAGCTGACGAGCCACTTTTTTCATCTCCGTGCCTTTGCCTAGTTTGGCCGAGAGTCTTCTGGGGCTCTCTCTGGACGGGGCTTTCCTCTCCATGTTTTCTGGGCTGGCAGTGAGTTCACTAGGACTCTTTCATCTGGGTTGCCCTGTGCAAAACAACAATTACATAAGAAGTCACTGCCTAGAGAGCTGAAACAGGTGACTGAAATGGTGAGTAAAGAGAGGGCAAAGAACACTGGCCTCACCCACTTCCTCTGCATTTTCTCAGAGGTCTCAACTGAAAAGGCTTCCAGTTTTCTGAGCCGTAGAAGGGTTTCCACCCAAAAGGAGGTCCACTGTCCTCTCCCTGCCCTCTACATCTATTACAAATTCAAGGCACACACACCACATTCACTGGTGGCTTTGAAACAGCTAACAAAGGCACATTTGATTAGGTTTCTGGACCGGGTAACTCACCCTGCTCCCCGAGGGAGGAGAGCAGGGGGGATGCCCATCTGGGACAGGGCTTGCTTTCCCAGGTTACATCTGCCACTCCCCACTTACTGCCACCTCCCATAGTGTGCTTCTCAAGTTAACCTTTCACTGAACAGAGTAAAAACAACTCCTTTTATATGCATGCTACTTTTGGGCTTAAAAAGCACTTTTATGCACAAATAAGATCATATAGAATAGTGCTTTGCTTCTATAAAAGCCCACAACATTATTGCTGTTAATTTTATCTCACTCGACTCTCACGTCCTCCTCTCTGGCCATCCCATTTTATAGAGCAGGAAGTTGAGGTTCAGCTAAGTTACATTCAGTCCTTTAAAAATCTTTATCAAGTGCCCACCATGAACCAGGACTGGGGATACAGGGTAGACATGGTCTACCTTCCTGGAGCTTACATTCTAGAGGGAGACAGACATTAATCAAGTAAGCACACAATTAATTACTATTTTGATAACAGCTATGAAGGGGAGGGGCTAAGAGTCTGGGGGGACAGGTGGGGAAGGCTTTCCCGAGGAAGTGACATGTAGCTGGGATCTGGAGGAAGACAGAGTTAGTGGGAAGGAGCAGAAGTTGGGAAGTTGGCTGGGGAAGGGGGCTGGTGGGTGTGAAGTCTGAAAGCCCTAAGGAGAAAGGAGCCTGACACATTCAAAGAGCTGAAAGGCCCAGGGGGCCAGGGCACAGTGCAGGGGGTAGAAGGCCACGTGACACGAGAAGGGTCGGTGTGGGCCAGACAGGCAGTGCCTTGTAAGCGATGTTGTGAAGACTTCGGGTATTAAGAGCAAAGAGAAGTCACAGAAGGATTTTAACCAGAAAAGTGACAAGATCAGATCTGCATTTTAAAAGCATTTGGGCCGAAACCGGTTTGGCTCAGGGGATAGAGCGTCGGCCTGCGGACTCAAGGGTCCCAGGTTCGATTCCGGTCAAGGGCATGTACCTGGGTTGCGGGCATATCTCCAGTAGGAGATGTGCAGGAGGCAGCTGATCGATGTTTCTCTCTCATCGATGTTTCTAACTCTCTATCTCTCTCCCTTCCTCTCTGTAAAAAATCAATAAAATATATTTAAAAAAAAATAAAAAATAAAAATAAAAGCATTTGGATGCTGGAGACTAAATTTAGGGAGAGGCCGGATCAGCATTGAGACCATCTAGATCAGCGGTTCTCAACCTGTGGGTCGCGACCCCTTTGGGGGTCGAATGACTCTTTTACAGGGGTCACCTAAGACCATCGGAAAACACATATTGAGTATATAATGACATACTGTTTTTGTAATTAATCACTATGCTTTAATTATGTTCAATTTGTACAATGAAAATACATCCTGCATATCAGATATTTACATTACGATTTGTAACAGTAGCAAAATTACAGTTATGAAGTAGCAACAAAAATAATTTTATGGTTGGGGGTAACCACAATATGAGGAACTGTATTAAAGGGTCGCGGCCTTAGGAAGGTTGAGAATCACTGATCTAGATACTACTATGTAGTCCCGGTGACTTAAGGTGGTGGCAGTGACAGGAGAGAAGTGAACAGATTGGAGACATTTATTTAGAAGGCTGACTTGAGGGGGCTTGGTGACTGCATGTTGGGGGATGGACGGTGGAGCCCAGAAGACATATGGTGGTGGCGAGGCGGTTCAGTTTAGGCTGTGAGAGAGAAGCGACTGTGGGTCTTCCAAGTGGAGATGCTTGGTAGGCCGTCACATGTACATGTTGGGAGCCCAGGAAGAAGCACAGGTTTGCCCAGTGAGAGCCAGTCCATTGCAGATCCATAACTAAGCTAATAGTGCAAAGAATTAGATGAATGAGCCCTTCAAAGGGCTGATAGAAGCTGAAAGCATTCCAGATATTCTAACAAGGCCATTTGAGGCAAAGAAGAATGGCAGCAAGATAAGAACACAAGAGCTATCACAGGGCTCAAGACAACAGGAGGCCAACAAGGAAAATGACAATAATAAAACTGCCTAAGTGCTGGTCTCAATGTTTGTGTTCCCCTCAAATCCATATGTTGAAATCCTAACCCCCCAAAATTATGGTATTAGGAGGCGGGCCCTTTGGAAGGTGCTTAAATCATGAGGGTGGAGCCCTCGTAAGTAGGATTAGTGCCTCATAAAAGAGGCTCCAGACAGCTCCCTAGCCCCTTCCACCACCCAACCACCCTCATCTCAGACTTCCAGCCTCTAGAATCACTAACAATAAATTCCTGTTGTTTGCAAGCCACCCCGGCTGAGATATTTTGTTATAGCAGCCCAAGTACACTAAGACAGTAGGTGTAAACAAAGCCTGGCAGCATTTTAATTCGCAGTCCACTCGCAGCTCCATCCGCTTGTCCTGAGTGCAGAGAAACACGAGCCCCCTGCCAACAGCACTGTATCTGGAACACCCTGAAAGGCCAAGGCTGAACATTTCTGCCAACCAGGACCTCATGGAGAACACCAGCTACTCCAGAAGCAGAGGAGGGATTCAAGATAAACAAAAATTAAAGAGAAGACAAGGATGCTTTACGAGCGTCCCTGAGCAGCCCTCTTGTTCATACGTTTGCACACAGTATAAGTGGGCAAAAGGGAACACACACTGATCTGAATGAGACTGAATCATAAACACAACTGCAAGTAAAAATTACTTTGTACCATACTGAGTTCATTTAAAGCAGTGGTTCTCAACCTTCCTAATGCCGCGACCCTTTAATACAGTTCCTCATGTTGGGGTAACCTCCAATTTCATTGTTACAAATTGAACATAATTAAAGCATAGTGATTAATCACAAAAACAACATGTAATTATATGTGTTTTCCGATGATCTTAGGCGACCCCTGTGAAAGAGTCGTTCAACCCCCAAAGGGATCGCGACCCACAGGTTGAGAACCGCTGATTTAAAGGAACTGGTCTCCCCATGTCAAACCAAGCACCCGTTCACAGGTCACAGGTTTAGTCCTTGGTGCACAGAAGATAAACAATGGCACTGTCACATCTTGTACAGCACTACGCAAAAACAACATCTCTCTATTGGATGGCCAGGAAGTTCAACAGTGCAGCCTCAAAAACAGACTAACATGTATAAGTGTATCTCTAATTACATCAGAATCCCTTTGTATGAAAACCAAGAAATGTGCATGGAAAGTGAATAGGAGGTTTCTGCAAAATGGAAGTAGATTTCGCTTGTGGGTGACCAATCAGATGTATCATTCAAGTCTGCCCCTACTGTTGATTTAGATTAGGAAAGCAGCTCATGTTAGTTGCAACTGAGTTAGAACTTGACAAAGTTTCAAATTATCTTACAAAATACGGATTACTTTACGGGTATTTTAGATAAGGCATCCCAATTTAGCCTTCTACAATCCTTGTGACAGGAGGAGAAAGGTCTTGCTGGTGTTATTAAAGTGTATTCAATGGAGCTCCAAGAAGATAAACAGGAATTTATTCTGGCCAGTCAAGAATATGTAGGGCGCCGAAACCGGTTTGGCTCAGTGGATAGAGCGTCGGTCTGTGGACTGAAAGGTCCCAGGTTCGATTCCGGTCAAGGGCATGTACCTGGGTTGCGGGCACATCCCCAGTAGGAGATGTGCAGGAGGCAGCTGATCGATGTTTCTCTCTCAACGATGTTTCTAACTCTCTATCTCTCTCCCTTCCTCTCTGTAAAAAATCAATAAAATATATTTAAAAAAAAAAAAGAATATGCAGGACAACACTGAGTATGAAATAAAAAAACTGAAACGTTGACAAATTGGTTAAAAGGAGAACAGATGCTAAAATTTTAGATCCTGGAGAACTGGCGGCAGTTGGAGGTAAATAGCACTGTAGAATAGTAAATTAACTACCTTGGATGTGAAAGTGACTAAAGTGTGAAAGCCCTGTCCTAAGTTCTCCTCATGCCGCAGGAAGCCTGAGTGCCCAGGGACGTTCAAAAAAGATGCTGAATGAAGGGCTACACCCAACCTGGACCTCTCTGCTGAGAGGAGCGGCGCTTCCTCCCCAGAAGCGGCACTGAGGTCATCAATCAAACAGGCCCACTCGCACACGGCACAGGGAGGTAGCAGGGGATGGCATTTACTTCTGCTCTCAAACCCAGGGCCACACAAACGGCAAAGTCTGAAAACCTCAAGATTTTCTTCTTTCTCGGCATTATTTTACTCATAAGCTGACTAGGGGTTAAAAATGGGTTATGGGGACTCTTTCCCCCTCCCCACGTGGGAGTCTGTGTTGTGGGATTCTTTCCCCTTCCCCACGTGGGAATTTCTACTTGTTCTTTAATAAATTTCCACATTTGCTATAAAAAAGGAAGAAAAAGAAAATGGGTTACCATGCTCTTACCCACTGTGCCATCTCTGCTTCCTGGCACAGACTGGAAACTGCTACCATCACCTACAAACATCTCAGATCCTCATGAGCCTGACTCTGCACGAAAAGGACTCCCACTTAAGCTCCCCAAGCTGTCAGAATCGACCCTGACTGGGCCTCTTAATAAGTAACAGGTAACACAGTGTCCAAAGGTTCCCAGAGAGAACAGTACGTACTAAAACTTATCATGGAAAGTGAACATAAACACAGAGGCTTATATAAACAGGTATAAGATAAAATTCTAGCAAGTGCTCCACAGCACTTGGCTCCTGCTTCTATTTTTGCACTTCTAACATTAGACTCTAATTATTTGTCTCTTCAACCTCAACAGTTTTTTTTTTTTTAATCTTTGCAACCTCAGCTCCCAACAATATGTGTGAGATACTCAACAGAATAATAAATGCCTGCAAATCCCCTCCCCTGCTGAGCCTCGCTGACAGCCCTAGCAGCTTAGCTGTCACTGAAATACCTGAACAGCTTGAAGGTCAAGAGTCGGCATTTCCAAACGCCATGGTTACCTCAAGACCTAACTTCCAGCTCTGGTCTCCTGCAGGAAGCTCTCTCATCCACCCCTTCATCTAAGATGAAAACTCAGGGATAAATCCATCAACCTAATTAAAGGTTGGTCTAATCCAAAAACAATCTCTATGATGATGTAGGCTTATGAATAAAAAAAAGGACACCCAAGGTTTACAAGGAAAGAATCTGCAATGCTGCTCTCAGATATCTCCTTTTATAGATACTTGGCAACTTTCCCGAGAGCTCAAGTTTCCTTTAAAATGTGTCACATGTCTAACAGCCATGCATGGACAGAGTTGCGAAGAGAAAGCCCAAGCAGAGACCTTACAATAAAGTAACAAGGCCAGGAAAAACTAAGACCTTACAGCCCAGAAAACCATGGGTAATCCCAGTGTGAATTATGAATACATTACAGAAGTTGTTTTCTCTTGGTCTGCATGTTGGGAGATACCATTCCGGGGAAATGTCTGTGTATTTTAACAGGGAACAACCCCTTTACCTCCCGGTTATACCTAGATCTCTTCACATTCATCTTTCCCTTCACATCCATTTGCATTCTTCAACTTGGCTGCAAAGATTCATGTCAAAGATCCTAAACCCCACGCCCATACAACGTCCTGTTCGGCACCTGCTGTGGCTCACTCCATCCTCCTCTTCCAAAGAGCAGATGATTAGAGAACTTCCCTCAAGCGCTCCCCGCCCCCCCCCCCTTCCAGCAGGGTTCGCAGCAACAGTACCCACTCCCATTCGCACCAGCCCACGCGCGTCTGTGCCAGGCAGCAGGAGCGCCCTCCAGGCCCCCCCCCCCCAGCTGCCAGCTCAGCAGGGCACCACTGGGCAGACCCTAGGACTGTGCTGTGGCTGGCATACCACCAGCCGCCCAGGGCAAACGCCCAGGCCATGCAACCTGCCAGGACTTGGGCAATAGCCGGGAGCCTCATTTCGGCCTGGATCAGAGCCCCCCCCCCCCCCCCTCACCCACTAACTCCTTTCTTGGCACTTCTTTCCCATCTCCCCAACCCCTGGCACCAGGCCTGGCCGCCTGGCCACCCAGGAGAAATAACCAGCCAAGTGAGTGGCAACACGTCTCTGGAAAGGACAGCACACCTGTGCCGGGACCCAGAACGGGGCGCCACCTCCAGCCCCCAGACCGGATCCCAGGGCCCTCACCAGGTTACCAGCTCCCTCACCCACTCACCTGCCCGCTCCCTGCCCCCTCAGTTCACAGCCCGGCCGGAGGCCTCCAGCTCGCCCGGCCCCGAAGCCCACAGCTGTCACCTCCAGGGCTAGACCCGGCCCCCCGCCCTAAGGGTCTCACCCCACTGGCACCCCACACCAGCCCCTCTCGGTACTCCGCCCCCTCCTCGCCCTTGACTCCCTCTCCCACCAAAGCCCGCCCCTCAAAGCTAAACCCACCAACGAACTGGGGGAGGGACGCACGCCCTCTGCTCCCACCATTTGGGCCTCTGTCTGACCCCCTGAAGTCCTGATTCTCCCTCTTGCCTACCTCGCGACCCTTCTTCTTGCCCCTATTCCCACCTCCTTTCCCACGCTCCCCGCCCAAACCCTCTCCCCGTGCGCCCCGTCCTCCCTTCCTCACCTCGGGCCGGGGTCGGGGTCGCCACTCCAAGCACAGCCTGCGGGTCAGGTGGCGCATGCGCCGGCACGGGCCCGCGGCTCCATGACAACCCAGTCGTCGCCGGGTCTGGAGCAACCCCCTAAGCCTCCCGCCCCTTTCTCCTCCCCCGCCTCCGCGGCGGCTTCCGCCGGCCACGTGACAGGCTCGGAGGACCCGGCACCATAGAGACTGCTTGCTGTCCTCCTAGACGGGCCCTTCGAGGCGCACCCTGTCCCCGCCTCCGCCGGAACGCGAGCCCCTCCAGCCTCTCAGAGGGCGCGGACGTCCCGAAGAGGCCGGCGCTCTCTCCGCGGAGGGCGGGCGTCTCTATGGCTTCTTCCCAGGCCCCGTCGCCATTTTGTACGGGGGGGCTTGAACCCCGAGCGGCTGGAGTGCGGTATCGGGGCAAGGTTGGGAGAAGTTTCCGGCAGACACGGCAGGAGGCACGATTCTCCTGCGGGAGCGGGTGGCGGTTGGCTCTCGTTTTGTACGCCGGGACACCGCCAGGGTTGGGGGCCAGGACAGGCCATGCTGACTGGCACGCGCGCCCCGGGTGGCGGCGCCCCGCGTGGGAGGACATGCGGCCAGCCTCCCGCCCCCTCTGCCGGCGGAGGCGTGACCGACCGCCCTGCGCCGCTCACGTGTTTGCCACGCCTGTCCGGGCGGTTGGTTACCTTCCCCACCACTCCGCAGACCAGGCGGGGACGCAGTCCGCGTTCCTGTTGGGTGATTCCATGTCATTTGGTGTGTAAGTTACTTTTTCTCGGGACACTGTCCTCCGTCCAGCTCTCAGTGAAGCGACAGAATGCAGACACTGCACTCGCTAAAGACTAAAAGGGGTGGCCCTCGCCGGTTGGAGCAGTGGGTAGAGCATCGGCCCACAGGCTGAAGGGTCCCGGTTCGTTTCCGGCCGAGGGCGCACGCCTGCGTTGCAGACTCATCCCCAGTAGGGGGCGTACAGGAGGCAGCCCATCAGTGATTTTCTCCCATCATTGATGTTTCTCTCTCTCTAACCCTCTCCCTTCCTCTCTGGATTTGCCATATCAAGACTAGTAGGAAGGGGAGAGACGTGAAAAAGGCTGGCCCTGCTCCCACTCGTGGGAACTAAGATTCTGGAGGGATATCTCAGCTACGAAGGTTCCCCCTAAGAAGAGTGGGACTTCAACCCCAAGCCAGGCTCCCCAGGCCAGAGCACCAGAGCCAGGAAGAGACGCCCACATAACATCTGGCTGTGAAAACCAGCAGGGATTCTGTCTGCCAGGGAGAGAGAGGAGTCTGCTAGACACATAGGCGCCCTATTAAAGGGCCAACAGACAAAATCTTTGTAGCCATTCACCCTGGGCTCTGGCAGAGGGTGGAACAGACTAGACTTGCATGAGGGGAGACTGGGATTGTGGCTCTGCGGAGAGAGCTGTCAGGATCCCTGTGCTGAGTCACTCTCCCACCCCGCCTACTCCATCTTTCTTGGTGGGGCACTCCCCTCCATACAGCATCAGCCTGCGGGAATGCAATAGCCCCACCCCTTTGCCTCATCCTGTGGAGCTTGCTCTGCTGATGAGTCAGCTGCCTGGGTTAGGGTGTAGAGGTCTAGGCAGACTCAGAGGGTATCGGTGACTGGGTTGTGTGGCTTTGGGACAGGCCATTCCTCCCACTTTCCCGTGAAGCTGACTGGCACCTCCCCCTCACAAGAGGTGCACTAGCCTCCACCTTCCACCTAACCTGAGATCAGGCTCCTGGCAGAATCTGGGACAGACTGAGTTGTGTGGCTCTAGAACAGGGCCATCTTTCCCTCAAATACCTGACTGTGCAGAGCCCTCCTTTCACAACTCTTGGTCTGTTTGGACCTGATACACTGCTGGCCTCACCCTGATGACTCCCTGAGACCCCCCCCCCCCCCCCACCATACCACAAAGGTGTGCAAGCACCCTGAGGGGGGCAGCTAGACTTGGCATACCCTGGGACATTTGCTGAGTGGCCTCAGACCCAGCTCTGGCACCAAGTTTGAACCTGTGTCAATCTGTAGAAGCTGTGTCAAACTTGCCCCGACCTGGTGACTCACTGGGAACATACCTCATGCAACTTGATTACCACCAGTGACTGAGCCTAACCAGCAGGCAGAGGCAGATCTTGGGGTGCCTTGGAACTTTAGCTGACCTGCTTCTGGGCCCAGTGCAGGTAAAAGCCAGCCTTGGTGCACAGCCTGGTCCTTCCCACACTCACCCAGGCCCAGCAGAGGCAGCCACAAACTGTGAATCACTTCGTAGCTCCAAACAGGTTGCCGAGAGCCAGTCACAGGCAGGATCTGACATTGGGCTGCTCCAGAGTCCCTCCCAAGAGGCCCAAGAACCAACACACCCAGTGGCCAGCTTCAGACCAGGATGCAATTAGCTTCACAAGTGGCATATCTGAAGGGAGATCTTGGCAGGCCCCAGACCCTGCTGAGGCAAATTCCACTTCATGTGGTCAGCACCACCTGCACAGTAGCTCGTACACTGTGGGCAGGGCTTATCTTCACAGTCAGCCAGCCTGAGGGTTGACCCCACACACAAATGAGTCAAGAGCAATCAAGACTCAATTACAACAAGAGGGCCCACATAACCCACACGAGGGATATTCGTGGAGCACTCAGCCCAGGTGATCAGGAAACTACGCCATTGGGTCATCCAGGACACCTACTGCATAAGGCCACCCTACCAAGACTGGGAGGCATAGCAGATCTACCTAATACATAGAAACAAACATAAAGAGGCAGCCAAAATAGACAAAAACATGTTCCAAATGAAAGAACAGAAAAAGATCTCTGGAGAAAGAGCTAAATGAAGTGGAGACAAGCAACTTATTAGATACAGAGTTTAAAAAAAATGGTCATAAGGATATTCAAGGAACTTAGAACTACAACAGCATAAAAATAGGACATAGAAATGGATCAGTCAGAAATGAAGAATATAATATTTGAAGTGAAGAATTCGCCAGAAGAAATAAAACAGTAGATTGAATGAAGCAGAGGATAGAATCGGTGTTTTGGAAGACAGGTAGCAGAAAACAATCAGCACATCAAAAAGAAAAATATCGTTTAATTCTTATCTGAGGATATGTTTTATTGATTTTAGAGAGAGGAAGGTGGGGGGGGGGGAGAGCAATAAATCCGTTGCCTCCCGTACGCGCCCCATCCAGGTATTGAACTTGCAATCTAGGTATGTACCCTGACCGGGAATCAAACCTCCAGTCTTTTGGTGTACAGGGTGATGCTCCAACCAACTGAGCAACCTGGAGAAGGTGAGAAAAAAGAATTTCAAAAAATGAGGATAGCTTCAGGGACCTTTGGGACAACGTGAGGCGTAGCATATCTGCATCACAGGGTACCATAAGAAGAAGAGAGAGAGAGCAAGGGATCAAAAACCTATTTGAAGAACTAATGACTGAAACCTTCCCTAACCTGGTGAAGGAAAAAGACACACAAGTCCAGGAAGTGCTGAGTCCCAAACAAGATGAACTCAAAGAGGCTCACACCAGGACCCATCATAATAAAAATGGCAAATACTGCTTAGAGTAATGGCAAATAGCTCAGAGTCTGATATAGGCAATAAAGACATGCTATAAAAAACACTATGAGAGAGAATGTGATAAATGCCAGAGGAGTCTGAAAATCTAATAAAATCAAGGGAGTAAAAAATAGCCTTCAGCTTGTTTTTTGTTGGAAGATGAAGAGACCAGGAGGTAAAGCTTTAAGAAGGACAGATAAAAGTTGGATTTACAGTAACGGAAGTGGGTGAGGTCATAATTCATATCAGGCAAAAGAGAAATTAAGCAAAGGCACGAGGATTAGTGTAGTCCTTGAAAGGTGCAACTAAGTCAAACTCCTCTGATTTTACCTAATTCATGAGCACACAGCAGTGCTATATCAATAACTTGAATTTCAAAGATAAGTTTGGTAATAGAACCAGTTGCAATTTACTGGTAGGCACGATCATGACTTTTATTGAGCCATTGTATGGTTCTATATGATTACACATGCAGAATAAGTAATTCATGAAAATGGATAGCCAAACCAAT